TTCTTATCACGGGCGTTAGTAATCGGGAAATATAATAGTTATTTACCGCTCAATCGCCGACATCATCAGGGTCACGGCTGCGCCGTGACGCCTGATGATATCTCTGATTTCGCGGTAAATAATTAATAAATATCGCGTCACGAATTTTGTTTATTGTTTTTCCATTTTTAGCGATTGGTTGTTTCACAGCCCGTCTGAGGAGGCGGCGTGACTTTATTTTATAGTGACTTACTGGCGTAATATATTATAAGGAAGGATAAGGATTATAAGGACTAGCAATTCTACCCAAGCGATGCTCTGGGGTCACTTCATGACAAAAAAAGGTGAAGTTTAGTTTCAGAGATATGATTTAATTGAATTAGGTTGAATTGTAATTAAATTGGTATTTATTAAGATTATGATTGGGTTAGAATGAATTGGATTATGTTAGAATAAAGTTTGTATTATAATCTGATTATGATTTGATTATAATTAAATTAAAATAGAAATTTTGCATTTTAAGTTTCTATAGGTAACTTCATATTTTTACATAACAATAGACAATTTTCATCTCCTTTAAGTAATTAAACCTTAGCATTACCAGAAAACTAATTCAAAATTTGCTTATAAATATTTTCTCCAAAATTGATTTTAGATCTACTTAAGATCTTATCAACTTTTAAAGCTAATTCATCTTTCAGTAATCCAATTTATAAATTTTGACTTATTTTGAAGCATTCTTAGGGTAAATCTAGTCATATTGAATTGGTATTACTATGACTTTCAGATCACATGATCGCTTCATTTAAAAGATTTCAAGAATTTGCAATTTAAATAATTGATTTTGAAAATTATAGGTTACCTTATTTTCTTACATATTAATATACATTTTTCTTACTCCTTTAGATTCCCAGATAGTGAAGTTAGTATTCAGTATCATTACTTTTCGAATAGCTCCTTTTGCTTCAGTTCCGATAGTTACACTTGCTTGAAATTCTTTCGTGATGAACCTCAAAATAATTGCTTTCAATTATTCTCAAATATCTCTGGATCGAGTTATTGAATCGGGATGGTTTTGAGATTATTTGAAATATAAGAATATATTGAATCTACTTATTAAGTTTGAAAGGTAGCGGACAGTGAATGTCAAATTATTCACGTTCAAATTTCGTCTGACAAATAGTTCTTTTGTTTTTTTACCAACACTCAAAGCTATTTCATTTTCTAATATATTAATATATGGGGTCTTTGCAATAGAAAGGGAGGAAACTCAAAAAAAAATAAAAAATGAGTTAATAATAAATTTGAACAAATTATAGTATTTGGAACATTTTTGACTTATAAACTAAAATTTTAATTTTTTTGGAGTTTCCTCCCTTTCTATTGCAAAGGCCCTTATAGTTTTCTCACTTCCTTTATATTTTCAGATAATGAAATTAGTTTAGAATCATTACTTTCAGACGGTTCCTTTTGCTTCAGTTCCGAGAGTTACACCTGCTTGAGATTCTTTTGTGATGTATCTCAAAATAATTGCTTTCAGTTATCCTCAAATATCTTTAGATCGTATGATTGAATTGGAAGAAATCAATATAAACACTTACCTGACACTATCATGTCAGAAACTAAAGCAAAAAATTATATTCAGAATATTTCTCAACCTTACAACAAAAACAAATGAAAACCACTAAAAAACAACAACTGACAGTTTACAAACTCTATTTCAGAAATTAACGAACAAACTTTATTGGAAAATAACAAATAAAACAATAAAAATCAAAAAAATTTTTCACTACTAATATCATCCAAGTCATAGAGAATATTATTTTAACTAAAAGCATTAATGATAATGAGGCACTTCTCAATACTTTTAGTGATAATACAACTAAAATCACTGAAATGGATATTGATAATATTGTTTCTTCAACTTCTAACTCAGCTAAAACTATTCAACAAACTTCTTTTCAAACTGTAAAGGATTCTATATATGCATATTAACAAAAATAAAATAATACTAATGAATCAAAATAAGCGAAAATAACTTTTATTTTCAAAATAAGCAAACTTGATCTGAAGAAATAAATGAAGCTGAGCTTATTCTTCAAGTAAAACAAATATAAAAGATCGATATTTCAATATTATAACTGTGCCTACATGATATTATACAACTAATAATACAGCTAATATAAAAGGAAAGTCTATTGCAGAAAAATGTAATTTTATTAACGCATTTTTTATTCACTTTACTGAATTTTAAGGATCAAACTATCTTTCCAAAAATAGAAAATTTATCATTTACTTTAACACTCTGAAATTTTAACACACACTGTCATAAAGGCATAAGATCAATGCTGAAAAAAGTCATACAATCAAAGTACAGTCAATCCTCTCTAAATGCACCCCTCGGGACCATAGTGAAAATTTTAAAAATGTGTATTTAAAGAGGGTATGCATTTAAAGAGAAAATTTTTATATGAATTCTATATGCTTGGGACTAAACAAGAGCGTGCATTTAGAGAGAAAATATATAGTATGTGCATTTAGAGAGGGTTGACTGTATCAGATATTCCTATTTTTTCAAATCTGACATCATTAGAAATTTCTTTACTAAATTTAAAATGATCACTCATTTTTTGATAATTATTAGAAGATCCTAATAAATGCTTTCATCATATATGAAAACAGTGACACAATCAAAACTTTTTATAATAAAAGTTAGTCTGTTTCATTTTTCAAATTTATACTAAGAGTAGAACTAACAGATTTATATCCTATATAAACTACCCTTCATCAACAATTTAAACATAAACTTTTTGGCTTACCTCTCAATACAGATTAAGATATTTATAAGATTTCTTAACTAGCATTAAAGTTAAACTTGCTTTATTCTATATAATACATAATATCATCTGAGACAATACACTTTAATTAATTTTACATCTTTAGAAGATTTATCAGTATAATCATATAATTCCAAAGATGCATTTAGATATGAATTTTAGTTGTTATATAATAAAATTAGCAAAAAATTTTGGATTTCACCCTTTTTTGCTAACTATAACAACTGACAGTTTTCACAAATTGTTCTATTATTTAGGTAGAAGGATTTTTAATATATTTATAATTTCGAACTTATCAGAAGTTATTTTATTTTAGTATTTAAGTTTTGGATTTTGTCAAATTTTGAGTTTTTATTTTTCAGAACAAACTTTATTATATACAATAATATATATAATGTAACTTTTTTCTTTTTAAGTCTTGACTCTTTAGTTAAAGGTTTAGAATTCAACCTATATATAAAATGCTAAAAAAATAAATATTGTACTTTTTATTTTAATTTTAAAAAAAATTAAATAAGAATAAAAAATAAAAATAAAAAAAGAATAAAATTAAAGAATAAAATTACAAAGGTAAAAAAAATAAAATAACAAAAAATAAAAAAATGAATAATAAAAAATGAATATAATAATACAAAATAAAAAGAATGAAAAAAATTAAAAAAAAACGAATTATAAAGAACAATAAAAAAATTAAAATAAAATTAAAAAAATGAAAAAATATATTAAATAAAAAAATTAAAAACAGGAGAGAAAAATCTTGTTAAAAAAGTTGAAAATAAAATATTAAAAATTAACATAATACTGAAAAAAATAAAACTGAAAAAGAAAATAAAAAAAAAAATAAGCTAGAGATCAGGGATATAAAAGAATAAACAACAAAAAAATATGAAAAAATAAATCTGAGCGAATTAAAAAATACAAAAAATAAAAAAAAATAATATTCAAATTAAAAATTAAAATATTTAAAAAATATTATTTTTTTATTTTAAATTTATTAAAACTTTTTTTTATCATCCGATAATAAACATACAGTGGTGAGCAAAAGAAACGCAACCACTATTAGTTACCTTTAAAAGCTTATAACAGGTTAACTATGGGGGCTAAAATCATAATTTTATATTTATTTTAAAGCCCAAATC